GCATGAGCTTTTAGGCATATCTCATATTTACCTGACATTTTTCCAACACCAGGAAAGACAGATGAGTATTTGGTGGTACTGCTCCAAGGACTTCTGTTCCACTATTTCATCTGGTCGATGGACAAGTTGCAGTGCCTTTATGGCCAGCAAACCAAGTAAAGCCACAGCAAGATTACCAATCACATAGACTTCCTGGTCTATACATCTTTGCTTCAGTGTCATCTTTGCGTTAAAGGATCCCAGTACTTTGCAGGTAGTGTTTCCTGGTCCCCATAGCTGTTTAGTGGGAGTAAGAAGAATCCCATCCCAATGTGGGCTGTAGTGAGAATCAGGGATAGCTGAGCCTGCTGCTCCGGTGTCGGTTTTAAATGGCATTGGCTGTCCATTGAGCTCAATTTCTGTCATCCAGACTCTTGGATCTGATGAAGACTCTGTAACTTCATCTAAAAGTACTGTGCGATCTTCTGTTCTGTGACTTCGAAGATGTGGAGCGACAAACTGAAGCATAGTGACCTTTCTGTTTGCATCGCCGACATAACCTGGGGTTTGCCCACACCTGTGGCATCGGCCTCCTTTCCCACTTGTTTGCCGCTGCAGGCGCTGGTTACACCACTACCTGTGTTCCTTGTGCCTGTCAGCTCTTTAGTTTCTTTCCAGTGTGCATTGCATCCCTATAAACTAATGCCTGACAGGACTGAGAACCACTCCTGTTTTCTCTCTGCTGCTATTTAACTAGCTCTGATTGGCGAGCCTGCGTGATAGCCTTCTAGAGCATTAAATTGGGTCCAGCTGTCATCTTTGTGAGAGCTCTGCATCACGAAGCCCCGCGACTAAGCGGTCCCTAATGTGCTCTTCCTTAAGCGCCCCATATTGGCAGGATTCAGCCAGCATATACAAAGAGGTGATGAATTTGTCCACAGGCTCTGAAGGCTCCTGAGACTGAGACTGAGCTCGTTCATAGATCACATTTCTTTTGCCCAGGAAACGATCCGTTAGTGCTTCCATCACTGCGGCATATTGCTTTTTCTCTGCCTCTGTAAGAGACAGCGATGGCAGGATTTCATCTGCTTGATCTCCCTTAGAGTAGAGTACTCACTCGATAAGCTTCCGACTGTTTGTCCAGACCTGACACTTCCCTGGAGTGATTAAAACACCTGCTCCATCGAGGCCCCGTTCCAGGGGACTGGCCGTCAAACTGGTCTGGTGGTGCAACTGTGAGTGTCTGCGTGGTCTCTGTAGCCAGCCTCAGCACTGCACTGGGCTCTGCTGCAGGTACAGGCATCCCCCCCAGCTCTGCTCTGCACTCGATTCAGCTGCTGCTAGAGTCCGCCCCATGCTTTGGGCATCACCTGTCCGATTCCCCATTGGTGGCAGGGTTCAGCCACTTCTTACACCATGTGTTACTTTGGATCATAGGAAGAGGCAGGGAGACTCTTTTTCTCATCAAGCCTTTATTGTAACAACTAACCCCTGAACCCAAATTGGTCAGCCACCACTTCCTGTGCATGACATCACTCTTTAGTAGTAAGGGAGTTAACCCTTACTACTACAAGGAGGTCACATCTAGTGCAACCCCCTGCTCAGAGCAGGACCAGCCCCAGCCTCAGCTCCATCATCCCAGCCAAGGCTTTGTCTACCTGGGTCTTCAAAACCTCCAAGGATGGAGACTGCACCTCCTCTCTGGAAAACCTGTTCCAGTGCTTTGCTACCCACCTAGCAAGAAAGTTTTTCCTAATATCCAACCTCAACTTCCCTTGCTGCACCTTGACACCATTGCTCCTTGTTCTGTCAAATGCTGCTGCAGCACCAGAGTTTGAGGTCCTGCAGCTCCCGGCCCTGTTTTGGTTTGCAAATAGAAGTGTTGGGAAGTTTGGCCAAATAAGCCCTAAAATAACAATGCTGTGCCCAAGGTAAATTTGTCTGTAAACAGTCAAATGCAGCTCTCTGCACTCAGGTACAACACGTAACAAAAGCAAGCAAACAAGCAGGGGGATGTTTAAGTTGACGGTGTCATTTTGTTGAAGGAACAAGACATTTCCTAACTCAGGGATGCAACTCCGGTGTTTTTCTTTAAGCCTAAATTCCTGAAGGCCTGTGGTTGTATCAGGGTCTCCACTTCCATGTAAAAGCCAGAGCACATTTCTGATTCTGATGGTTGAGGAGAAGAGCATCATAACATGTAAGTCCCCATCAGTAACAGGGGCAGGTCTGTCTTGTATGGAATTTCTTTTGTTTCCATGAACCCACTCATTTCCCACGGAAGAAAGTACCAGAGATGGAAATTCCCTATGCCGCAGCTTGAATCAAGAGTGGGCCTTCATGTGTTTTCCCCAGCTGAGACCTCTTTCCTGCAGCATTGGCAGGCGGTGTTTTCCCTGCATGTTACATGAACAGGAACGTGCTTTTCCCAAATAGAAAGTGCAGCAGCAGCAGGGTCTTCTGCCAATTTCTGAGCCTCCTGCTGACCATTCAGAGATGCACTTGGATACAAACTGTCAGAGAAGGATGGAAAGCACGGTGATTTGATCCCCAATGACCTTGAGAAGAATGTGTTTTTCTCTGAGGCCGGTTGTTCAGTGAGATTCCAAAAAAACTTGGCTTTTGCATGGATATCTCGGTTATTGCCAATAATGGCAGCACAAGGCCTGGAAGGGACATTGACCCCCCTGCCTTGGGGCTTTACACAGTGCTCGTCTGCTAGAGACGAAGCTGAGATCTGAGGTGGGGGCAGATTATCAGACATCTGTGCCTGCGAGGCTCTTTGTGCAGTGTCTGGGTGCTAGCCAGCATCGGAGGGAAGACACTGGGATTGCTGGATCTTGGGTCTTGTATTGTTATTTCCAGGATGTGTGGTCACGGCAGCGGCACTGTTACTACCCCATTGAACTAAGGCAGTGGTTTTCAACTCTGTTAGACACTAGGCCCTCCTTATTAATCTTGAAGCACCCCGTGTTAGAGCCCAGGCCAGCTTTCATTCATGCTTGGACTCCAGAAAAATACTAGAACAGCTCTTCTGTTGCAAAGCACTCAGATCACGACAGGTCAGACATGGCTTAGACACTATTGATTCCTCTTTGAAATCGTCCCTGAGTTTCCTTTGTGAACTATACGTAAGCACTGGGACACCTAACAGTGCTAATATTATGTGGCACTCGTACGAGGATCTCAGGGCACCCCGGCTGAGAATCACTGAACTAAGGAGACATGCAACTTTGGCAAGAACTTGTGGTTCTTTTCTGTTTCCCCCACAATATTTTATATCTACTGGTGCCAGCTAAGCACTGATGGGTGTTCTACTCTTGAAAGGATCCTGTCTTCATAATGCAACAGCAACAAGGATCATCTGAGCTCTGGAGGGGCTTCCCTCTGAAGAGAGTAATTCAGCCAGGCCCGCTCAGTTTAGAAAAGAGATGCTCGAGGGGGGACCGTTAGAAAGACCATTTCTAAGCCAACAATAAGTGTTTACAAAATAATAAATGATGAGAAAGTTGCTAGGGATTTATTACCGGCTGTCTCTCACAACACAAGAACGAGGGGTCACAGCATGCAGCTAGTAGGCCGTAAATTTAAAACTAACATGAGGAAGTTTTTTCACCCAGCGTGGAATTCAGGTGTGGGACTTGTTGCCACCAGATGTGGTAGAAGCTGAGCGTTCAGCCCTATTCACGTTCTTGAAGGAAAGGGCCATCGGTAGCTCTGGAGCACAGTAGTGAGGAGCACGGCCTCCTGCCTGGACCCTTGCTGCTGGAGGCTGCAAGTGGGAGAGGTCAGACCCTGGTCGCTGTCCCTTCCAGCCTCCCCTCTCTGGAAGGGAGCTGGGCCAGATGGACCTCGGGCAGACCCAGAGCATGGCAGGGCTTATGTTCTTATTTTTGGTGGCACTAACAGCATTAAAAGCTGCGAGACAAAACTCCCAGCTCCTTACGTCAGGAAAGACCTCCCTGCTCTGTCCTGTCCCCCATCTCTTTGCTGCCTGACATCTGGGCCCCTTTACATCCAGCACAGCTCAGGGCGTTTTCATTTCCCAAGGGAAGCTCATAGTAAATCCTCCCAGTGCAGAGAAAACTTCTACTTTTGGGCTGCTTTCAAGTTGCAGCAAGGGAACTTTAGGTTAGATATTAGGAAAAACTTTTTCACTAGGAGGGTAGTAAAACACTGGAACAGGTTCCCCAGAGAGATGATGGACTCTCCATCCTGGGAGGTTTTGAAGACCTGGGTAGACAAAGCCTTAGCTGGGATGATGTAGTTGGGGCTGATCCCGCTTTGAGCAGGGGGTTGCGCTAGATGTGACCTCCTGAGGTCCCTTCAACACTCATTGCCTATGATTCTGGTCACGGGTGAATCTAGGATATTGAAAGGGAGATGCAGATGGCGTGGGGCACCGTGGCGTACAACCCAGCACGTATTTCTCTCCAGCTTCTAGTTTCTTTTTCTTGAAGCGGCTCCCAAACTCTGACAGATTGCGCACCGCCAATTTAAAACGACACAACCTTCAGTACCACCAGCAAATGTTTCGGTTCAGCCTTCAGGACCGCCAGCGACTGTTTGCCGGATAAAATCATCGTGGTCGATCCATTAACGTGTACTGCCGACAGGTCGTCCGCGTGCCACCGGTGGTTCCCGTCCCACAGCTCGGGAACGGCTGCTCTAAAGCGAAACAAGAAGCCTTATGCTTTCCTAGGGCTGGATCTCCGCTTGCAGACCCGAGCCCGAAACACGTGCAAGGTGACGGGTTCCTAAAAAACCGGGACAAAACTAGGCAAAAAACAAGAAGCCAAAGAGTCTGCTTCCTTCCTCCTGCCGGCATTAGCAGGGCCAGACAGCAAAATCCACCCGGAGCTGCAGTCCAGTACTTTTTTCCCGGGGGGAAATGGTTCCCACCTCTCTGAGTTGAGGCTACAATTAAGAAGCGGGGGGCTCGGAGGGGTGGGGAAGGCAAGCGGGGAGCTGCCCCCCGAGCCGGGCCGGGCCGGGCCG